CGGCAGGGCTGCGCAGGGGAGCCGGAGCCGTTTCCTCACCGCATCCGGCGGCGTCGGCTGCTCCTCCCCGTTCTCCTCCTCCTCCTCCTCCTCCTGCTGGCTGGGCCCGGCCCGGCCCGGCCGAAAGAGTCGAGGGGACGCGGCTGCTTGCCCTCCCTCTGGGCGGCGAGAACAACAGTCGGAGCCGGCGGCCACTTCCAGCGCGGGGAAACGCTAGGGGCGCTTTGGCAGGGCGCTGCGGAGAGACGGTCGCCTCCCATTCATTGCCATTGCTGTCGGCACTGCTCAGCCCCCTCCCGCCCCACACAAGCCTCGACCCCTCCCGCCTTTCCCGGGTTGCTCCTCCTCCTCTTTCACGCGCGACGAATATTCTACGGCGGAAAGGGCTTCGCCTTCGGGGAGTTAAGAATCGGCGCGCGAAACACGTGTGTGTGGATGGGAAAGGGTCTCGAAGCGTCCGTGGATGAAAATGGGACACTGGAGGGATTTTTCTTTGTTTTGATCCCAAGGATCTCCCTGCTCCGACCTCCACCTTTCCTGGTTTGTTTACCCCCCCCCCGTGTGTCGTGGGGCCGACGATCCACCTTCGTTTTCCATGGTGTTGGGAAGGGAAAACAACCAAGAGCCTTTTGTTGAACGAAGGCTTCATCAGATGCGCAGAGTGCTACCCAGAATATTGGGGGTATATAAAGTTGACACATTTTTAGAAGTGAGAATAGTGAGATGCAAAAAATACTGACGGGGCCGCGAGATTATTAGCGCTAGCCTAATATCAGGCTGCTGCTGATAAACATCCTAGCAGCAGGTAAACCGACTAACACATGTACAGTGATTTTTTTTAAAGTCCTGTACAGACCTCTGTTGATAGACCAGAATTTCCTAATGAACTGCAATTAAGTAGCCCCCTTTCTCATGTTTCTTTGCTCTGCACAGAATGCTTTAAGGTCAGTAAAAGAATGTCCTGAAAGGAGGGGGGGGGATTCTCTCTCTCTCTCTTTCCAGCCTTTCCCTTTCTAGTATTAGCTTTGTGTCCCTTTATTCTTCTGCACAGAGAGGGGCCTGTTTGCCCTGCCTGGAGTGAAGAAAGACCCTACTGTCAGAAGTGACAGCACAGAAGTGAAGAGTGTGTGTAGTAGAGTGTCAAACTGGAATTTGGGAGAACAAGTTTTAATCCCTGTTGAGCCTTGGAACTCACTGGGTGATGGTGGGTTTGCTCACTGATTCTCAGCCTGACCTACCTCATAGGGTTGTTAAGTAGTAAGAAGGCAGGCCATGTAAGCTGCCTTGAGTTCATGAATGTCAGTTGTGCCTGACATTGCTGGACCTGGTAAAAGTGTTTCCTGAGTAGTTATGAGGACAAAGGTGGCAGCTGCGCTTGTACCGGGTTCTGTCGCACATGTATGTATCTCTGTTGTGTGGCCTCTATTATCAAGGAAGTTGTTGTTTGAGGCTGAAGTGTTAGTAAATGCACAACCTGTGAAAAGTCACTGTCATTGCTGGCTAATGATCCATTTGAGTGATTCCTCCTGGAATCAGTAGATGACAAGTGCCATTCTGTCATTTTCCCCTTTCAACATATGCTTTATAGTAAATTATTCCATTGTCTTTGTCTGCTGTGTGTTTAATTTAGACCACCCTGCAATTGTGTAAAAACGAAAAAAGTGCCTATGTTGTTAATATTGATGATGAAATTAAAGGTGTTTGTAAAACATACTCATCCAGTAGACCTTATCAAAAATTTAATAACATTTGCTGCAACATTTGGAAGAGCAGGCCTTCTAATACACACTGCTGTAGTGTGCATTTAACATAACGTGCAGGGGGCATCTGCTTGATTCTCAGAGAGTTAGGCTATAGTCCTATACAAACTTACCTAAGAATAAGTCTCATAGGTTTGCGCTCTTAATAGTCCAGAGACACAAGACAAACGGATATGTGTATGTCATGCTAATACACAGCAAGCTGTGTTTGGAAAGTATTGTCATTGGGGATGATCAAACACATGCAGAACTTTGTGAAAGCAGAAAGAATAGTATATTCATACACAAGCAACTTATTACTATGCAAAGTATGCTAATTTGCTGGTGGAAATACTAAAAAATAAAAATGTGTACAGTGTTTAGGGCATAATGGCATAATCAGGATATGGTGGGTCAACTGCATACATTTCCCGTGATTCAAATGGGCCTACTATAACTGTGACTTCCTATGCTAAAGTAAGTTGCAGTTAGAGTAGGCTCATTTGAACCAATCGAACCTATGCAGGAAGTGATTCACCAAATCTCCATTGATTGAACGGACCTCCTTAAGTACAATTTACTACATTAAACAACAGAATTGTGGCCACTATTTTAACTACAGGCATATGTTGCTTTCATTTAGGATTGCGTGTACCTAAGTGGCTGTTTCACCGGAAGAAGCCAGCCCTTTAAGACTTCCTACATGTTTATAACACCACCAGAGAACTAAGAGTATGGACAGTGCTAAGGTACATACAAATGAGACAGACTGGCTTAAGGCAAAGTGAGATGTAGAACCTAATTAAAACAAGGCTTAGCAGGGAAGGGGCTTCCCTTCTTCTCTTCAGGAAGATGGTCACTGGAACAGGGTGGGAGCAGCCAAGGCCAAAGAAAACTCACTGCTGGTAGAGACAGGGTTCCTGCACCCACGATCATTCATTCCAACACATCCACCTTCTTTTGCATCCCAGGTGCCTTTGTAAACAAGATCCTAAATCACTGTTGAATGTACTGTAGTTCTGGTGTTCGTTCACTGGCATTCTGAAAACAAACAGACACTTGCAGTAGCAATGTTGGGAATGGGGCAAAGTGCTGTTAGGGCTGGATGGAACTGCCATCAGTTGTAGACTAGAGAAAACCCAGTGTCCTTTATGTGGAAATGAATGGCACAGATACGGCTGCCTAGTGCTAGAGCTGGTACAGTATTAGCAAAACAACAACAGTAATTGCAGTCCAGCCTTCACTGGACCCCATGGGTTACAGAGATAATAGCATTCTAGCCGCCTAGAGTGGTCGCAAGACCAGATAGGTGGGATATAAATGAAATAAATGAAATAAAATAAATAAATAAATTCTACCTTAGGAGACTTGTGGTGTAGTGGTTAAACTTCAGGACTGCAGTCAATACTCTGCTCACATCCTAAGTTTGATCCTGAGATAGCTGGCTTGAGTTTGAAGCTTTCCATCCTTCCAAAAACAGTAGATTGAGGGGGGGGAGGCGTAATGTGTAGCCTGCATAATTATGTTTTAAACCACCCAGAGAGTACTTTAAGTAGAGTAGACCTTTGG